TGCGTGTCTGCCCGCGTGCGTGAGGCGATGCGGTTTGATTTAATAATCCTCGGGGTTAAACGCGCCGCGATGAATCAAATTTTCGCCGCGGAGTGCCGCGTTCTTTCTTTCGGGGAGCGGCGCGCGACTTGCAATCGCGCGAAATCATTCAAGATCACGACCAGATGTGACGTCGGAGCCTGTTCTCCATTCCCGCGATTTTGGTTTTACGCGAATTCCGCGAATTTAAACTCCAAGAATCAATGGAGAATTTCAAGATACAATCACTGCGCACGGAGAAAATATTGCAGTGAAATTCACAAGATTTTTGTAAATTCATGGATAGAATTATTACTAAAATTATTATATATTCGTTTAAAAATGTAATATGCCAAAATTAATATAATTATTACATATTTCTTCAGAAATGCGTGTTTAACTCTTTACTACAAATTATTCCAATATTATTACTCTTTATTACATATTATTTCAATTACTTGAATGTCTTTTATATCGTACATTTGACAGAGAGATCGTAAGTTTTATTATTTCTATAGTAATTTTGGTATAGCCTAACTTTTCAATGAAAAAAAATATAATTTCAACGTAAATTTTATTACAATATTTCCTTCTTTACTTTAATATCACAATTGGTTATATATTGCCGTTCTTGATGCTAAAACTTGGAAAAATTCTGACAAAAAATTATTTAATGCTTAATTGCATCAATATTCAACATTTCATTTATTCTTAATTTTTAATTTCAATAAAAGGTTACAAATTATATAACTTACTCAGATGAAACATATGCGACAAGCAAATAATAAGAACATAATAAAACATTAAATAAATAATAAAATTAACAAGTAAATGAATATCTAGCCTTCGTTATTAACAATTTTATTTATTTATTTTCGTTTACTGGGTTTGGGAGAATTTGGCTAGAGAGAATTGAATATTCTAATTTACTTGAAAGCGTAATTAATAAAAGATTCGCTTTCATGGACTGTCTTTCAGTTGGCTCGATATTTCTTATTGTATGATACAAGTATATTTAACGAATAATCAAAAACTCATGAAGTTATAATTGTTTATAAAATAAAAATGACATTTTTGTATACCGGCCACAAAATAGATTCAAAATTTCGACTCGGGATTATTTTCGGCGAGTTAGAAACGCTAAAAACGTAATTATTCTATGCGATAAATAATTTCACACACCTTAAAATCTATGGCGTATCGACGTCCTGCGTCTTGCCGCGATCCTTTCATCCTGTTCCTGGCTGCCACGTAATACCGGGGACACTCATTGACACTGATACTCGCGCGGACACGATTCGATCGGAGAAGTGTGCATTAACTAACACGACATTAACGCCGACGACAGTCCGATACGATTAAATTCCCAATGACCGACGTAATATCTCGATCAGCCGACAGGAATTGTAAAAATAATGCGTCGATATACACGTGCTCCGCGTCGCGGGTGTGCGTCGCGCTCGTCGGCTCAGTACGTAATGACTCGTAGGTCGCGGAAGAGTACGCGACGCGCGAGACTACCAAAACAAAGAGCAAGGGGAGCGAAAATATGCTCCAAAACAATGACAAACCGTCTTCGCCCGTTAATCATATTCGGTGGCCGAGAAATCGCGACAATGTTCCAGGTAACAATTCCGCAACCTGGAGGCGCGCGCGAATGATTATAAATATCAAATTATCACGTAGGCCACACGAGGCCAGAAGTAACAACTCAATCAGATTAATATCTCTAGTTGTCGTGGCCGAGACAGCGAGTAGGGGGAAACTAACATGTTGGCATGAGAGATGAGAGTTTCTTTGTCTGTAAAGCATTATTCTATTTCTGTTGCTTTATGAAATAAAAGCATTGTCATAACCTACCCTCGTATAAAACTAGTTCTAGTGGTCTTTTCTACAATGGTTGTGTGCACGATATGTATTGGGGATATTTCTCTTTATTAATTCATTGTCCATTAATTAACTATATAATATTCATTAGTTAACGTCGCATTTCCGGTCAATTTTCATATGACCCTATTCGATGATTGGCCACGATAATAACCAGGAATTGACTCCAGGACAGCATACTGTTGAATTTACGAGCAAAATACAGATATACCACAGAGATTATTTAACATTAAACTATTCTTAAATGAATCTTTCTTTCAGCCTCAATAAAAGGGTGATGAGCAATTACTTCTATCATCAAAACAGAATTAAACACAAAACAGAATTATTAATATACATAACTAATTATATAACTATATATATATACATATATATATATATATATATAGTTATATATTTAACTAATATATATAATAAATATATATATATATATATATATATATATATATATATATATATAACTGATTAGTAATTAATTCGCTCAATTGATAAAATTATTTGTGATTTTATATATGACGACTGATTAATTATTGATTCGCCGATTATCTTAGTAAAACAAAATTTTAATCGATTAATGATTAACGCTATATCATGGAAAAATAGTGTTGTACCTCGAGATTTTGCATTATTAGTTCTCTAATTCGACAGCATTAGTAGGGTTAATATAAAATCAAAATTTTGATCAACAAATCAATCATCAAAATTAATTAATCGTTATATATAAAACCACCAAAAATTTCATTGATTGATGAAATTAATTATTAATAAAATTTTGATGTGATTGATTTTGTATATTAATTAATAATTAATTCTAAGTATTTGTGATTTTATACATATAAATTAATTTCAATAGTTGAATTATCGATTATTTAGTATTATCGATTATTTTAGTAAAAGAACATTGGAATCGAATAATGCCCAACATTATATCAAAGAAATATAGTATTGTATCTCGAGAGATTTTTATTGGTCCTTTAAATTCGACGAAATTGATAGAATTAATATGAAGCCAAAACTTTGATGAAAACTTTCGATAATTCCCTCAGTATTCTCGACAATTAAATCTCGAGAACACTCCCCAAGAGTTTCTGGTTCTCAGGCCTTTGCCGAGAGACAATGGTCCGGTGGACCTTGAATGCTAACCGACTGACGTGTTTCATCCACCTACGTGCCGACAACGCACCGCGTGTCAACACGCTCACGCATGACTCTCGCGAGAGAATACCGCGCACAATGCGCGAAAAAGGAGAAGAATCATCGCGGATATGAATTCTCCCCTTTACCTCTAAATTATGCGAAGTGCGGAATAACAAAATAGAAATCTGAATAATAAGTCCCCGTGCTGGCGAATGACAAAACGCGCGAGCCGGGGTGAACCATCCACGCTTTTACGAGACTGTTCTTACCTCAAGAGATCCAAATCCCACCCGAGTGGCGTCCATTCGACGAAAAGTCAAGTTTTGTCGTGTATTTGCGTTCGCGGGGCTCAAGATCGCGCATTCTCGTCCCACGATTCCCACGGTTGCTCACTGCTGAGCCGCGAAAATCAGAGACCAACGAAAGAAGTTGACAGGCCATACGCCAATACTTCCGGTGTGCCTGCGTTAAACAGCGGCGCAAATACCCGGGAACGAGAAGCCAGAGGAACGAGAAGCGGAACGGGTGTTCCGTTGCGAAAGTAACGGCGATCACTTACGACGAGATCTATTAAACCTAAACCGACGGCCGACCACTGCGCCTTCAGCTGCGCCGACCTCCACGTCGGCTACACGTACGTTCACGCTGGACGTAGCCCGACTTATCCAATTAACGGAGCGCGTTTTAGCGCGGCATCTCGTTAAAGCCATAGACACGTAGAATAGACTGTGAACTACCGCAGGAGGGATGAAGTCAGTATTATGAGAGAAGACAACACAGAAATGCTTTCCTTGTCTAATTGCTTAGTTGAAGGAGAGAACGAAGGAAGAGGAGCTATCAGTTGGTCTCCCCTCTTTCTCTCGCTATATTTCACATTTTGTTTCTTTTACATTATCCTTTTCTGTAATAGTGGGTGACAGAAAAAGCATCTAACTCAGCATATCTTTGTCCTGCATTTTTGGCTTCAGCCACTTTATACATAGAAAAAATTTTTAGTTTTTTAAAAATTTAGGTTTGCAAGTCTATAGATTGCTGTACAAGTTGGACTGTTATAACTAAACAGATTTGCTGGTGCAGCAAAGATATTAGATTTAGAAGCAATTATCGAATGGCTCAAGCCCATTCTTTATATTTCATATTATTTTAGTTCCTGCAACAAATCTTTTCGTATTTCGAGCTAATTTGTGAAACAAAAGTATTTCTTCATACATGAAGAAATACTTTTGTTCTCTTTACGTAGAAGTGCACCTCTATTAAGTCTGATTGCGCACGACCGTAATAAGAATTATGCGTTACAATTTAAGTTTGCCTTTTTATATCAATAACTGTATATATTTATGATATAATGCATTGATATAAAGTATATATCTTTACGTGAATATATTTATACACTTAATAACTTAATATTTTTACTTAATAACTTAATATTTTCTTATTCTACTTGAATGGGGTAACAGAGGGTCAAAGAGTAAACATCCGAGACACTTTATTGAGCACTTTTGCTCTAGCTAACTTCTATTACCGGAGCAACTGATAATTTAGTAGCTAAATTTTAACTACATTGAAATCCGGTAAATGTACCAAATTTCTTTTAATATAACAGCAAAATGATTAGTTGCGTACCAAACTATATCTTCCATTAGTTGTAGTATAGAATCATCTTTGCTAACAAATCTGCCGTGTTATAACATCAACTTTACCAGGTACAATCGCAAATCTTATATAGCTCTGCGACTTACTCTAACATAGCAAACTGGTTGTCGGTATGTTACGGTTATAGATTTGCTAGACTAGAGCGCGAGGTGTTCACTTGTGACAGTTGTGAAATATTCTTTTTCCGCGCATAAAGGTGCAGTCTATTTTATAACTATAAGTGTATAAGTTAGAACGCATACCATGAGCGCACGTATGCACGCGCGCGCACGTGAAAGTGAAGGAAAAACGGCCGCGACACTCACCTCTGACGGCGGCGTTGAGCCTGTCGAGGTTGGCGAGCGTGAGCGGCACCGGGCCGAAGTGCATGACGACTTTGCCGGCGCCGCGGCGCGCCATGAAGATGCCGGTGTAGCCGCGGCGCACGTACTGGCCGCAGGTGTCGTTCACGGTGAGATCGACGGTGGCGTTGAGCGCGCCCTTGATCGCCCTCTTGACGCGCGCGTGCAGCAGTTGGCCGTGGCGCAGCTCCTTGATCTTCCCCGTGAAGATGTAGTCCGACTGGCGCACCTTGCCCAGGAACGTCGTGTCGTTCCTGATCGCCGCCGTCAAGTTTGCCCGACACTCCAGCAGCTCCCTGGTCGATAGGCTCGCCAACGACAAGCCGGCCCAGAGGACCATCAAGCTGATCACCGTGTGACTAGGCATCTTGAGCTCGGAGCCGTGGACTCCACCTCTGCTTCTTCTTCTTCTCTTCTTCCTCGTTCTCTTCAAAGTCACATCGGTCTCTTGATCTCCGACGTAACTCGCAGACGCGGTCTGCGTCGTGGATTTTGACTTCCTTTTCTCTCTGTGTTTCCTCTCTTCCTCGTGTGATAATAATTCTTATGTTCCCTTTCCAGACACTGTTGGACACTCACGAACACCACGCGATAAAGTGCTACACTACACACCGGTGTCGACAGGGCAGTTCGCACTATTTGTCATTTGCATCTGGACGTTAATCGAACGTACATACTCGACCGCGATGCGTCGTCATTAATCACTGGCTCCAGGGAAGAGAGTCCAGGAGCCTCACTCGCCCCGCCGACTCGTGTGATTCTACAATCCACTCGAGAAGAAGCCGCTACATCGGCCCTAGACACAAGTGGCCACTCGATCTACGCCGGGGCTCGTCTGATTAATTCCTCGCCGCGAGTCGAGGGCATATCTCGAAGGCTTCCTATCGCCGCGACAACCTCCTTCTCGGAGAAGGCGGATAAGAAGGTGGCCGCGCGGCGTTGATCGGAAAGTAGCCAGGATCAATCGCCGGCCGCGAGTCCAAGAGCCGCGTTACCTCCGGGCGACTCCTGCTCCCGACAACGGCAACAACAACGTCCCCGATAAAGACGCAGGCACACCGGCGTTAATCAGAAGCGGGCACTCGGCCGTCCTGTGCTGCGTTCGCTCGTGATTAATTCCCGGCTCCAAATCGAGGACGGGTCCCACGGTGGTGGAGCCACGGCGGGCCGACGGCTGGCCTCCCGCGGTAAGTCCTCTAAATGGAAACGAGTCCGATCGCGAAGCAACAGGTTGGCGCCGTGTGTCGACCCACGCTCGCCGATTTCCAATCCCGCGTGCCTGCCACGCTCGCCCGCTCTCGCGAGCGGAAAAGAGAGGAAGAGAGAGAGCAAGCACGACGTCGCGTTGTGTCGCCGATGCACGGCAGCCGATCGATCGGCGGATCGATAAACTGCCGGGTCCACCTTCGCGTGGCCGTCCTCACGGCGGACGGCGTTTTATCGTCCCCCTGATGAGACCAGATGCCGAACGCGATCGAGATCGTCGGCGAAACGCACGCTTCGGCCGTCAACAGGTTCCGATCGAATCCGTCGCGGCGACGCGCGCAGATCGAACGCGAATTCCCTCGTTTAGTCGAGCTCTCGCGCTGCTCGTTCCGATCAAATCACCAGCTATCGACGACCTGGCTCGCTCCCGCCACCGATTGCGGCCGTTTACGGCCTAGCGAATACGCTCGCGCGCGAAACTTCGCGCTGAAGAACTCGTCGTTGGTGAGATGTTCTGTTTTACTCTTTTTTTTTTATTTCTTCTCTCCTCCGAGACTTCGTATCTTGGTATCCTCCGATACGATAATGAGGAAAACTCCTGCACTCCCGTTACGTTCGCGAAATTATCACGTCGGATTTTCACTGCACTTAGAGAACAACGAATGATCAACCTCGCCAAAAATAATTGTTGCTTTTGACGCCAACTATATCCTCTTGCTGCTCCAACCAAAAGTGATAGCAGCAATATACATGTGAAGTTTATTACTATTATCACTAACACTACGGTAACATCTACTGCAAAAATAGTTCTCCTGGTCAGGATTCCTTCATCACACAAGTGCCTTCGATTACAAGTGCCAAACACTGCTCTTCTTAGTGTGGTGAGAAGAGTGATGGGCCACCACGAAAGTTCGCGACTCGCGCACAGGGTGCGGATAACGTAACGCGTAATGACACACTGGGAGGATGCGCGAACACCACCTCAGCCAGCCATCTATCTCGACGACAATTCATCCGCGAGTTTCCGGCAGGTGAATTTTTAGCGGGCAGTTTGTCAGTTTTACGAACGGGTGTGCGAGATCGCGCGGCGTTTCGTAATGCAGAAGAGATTGCAAAAGCCGACGTCTCGAGCGCTCATTAGGTTATTCCGCGCTACTGGTGAGCGTTAACTGCACATGCGTCTTTTCGCAAGACCCAATTAGTCTGGAATTATTCGCGACTCTATGACAGAGGAAACGCACTTCCTTCTGCTCCCTTTTTACTTAATTCAGAGTGACACACGGCTCGACAATCCGCGTTTGAAAATCGGAGCACGATTCAACTGTGACGAAGCAGCGTGCTTTTACGTCACTGGAACGCCTGTGAGCTTTCCCAACCGGGGAATTCACCGATGGCCCGTCGCACCGGCAGAGAAAGCGTCGTCGACGACACTCGTCGTTGACAGACGTCCGATACACCTTGACTCGACTGACGGAGAGACACGCGACACGCAACGCATGCGACACGATCACAACCCGCGCGATCGAGCGGCCGCTGCCAAAAGGGCACTGTCAGCGCGAGAGGAAGTTGACGGCGGGATCCGCTGTCGGTCGGATGCCTGCCACCGCGGATCCGCGCGAGAGTGAGAGAGCAGTGGTCGAGGTGGTGGTTGGTCGCGTGGAGGCACGCGCTGGACTGAGGAGGGCTAAGTGTGGATGCTGCAACTACAACGTGTAGGCGTAAGTCGCCTTAGAGAACGCGGGACCGAGAGGGAGAGAGAGATGAGGAGAGGGCGCGCGGATGTGTGGGTGCGTGGCCGCGTGCGTGCGTGATGCGTGCGTGCGTGTAGCCCGCGACGACGGAGGTACACACGCGACACGGCCGTACGCGCACGTGTGCGTGCGCCCGGAGTGAGCGAGACGGAGGGGAGAGAAATCTTAGCCGAGAATGGCAGTGAGCGAAGGTGCACGCGCGCACGCATGCACGCACGCACGCACGCACGCACGCAGGTAAGCACGCGAGAGTAACCGCGGCACGTTCCCCGCGCTGAACGCTCGCACGCGCCACACGCGCGGAAAAATGCGTAAGAGACATGTGCGGGCTCACCGATAGGCAGATTCGCGGATTCACTTGGGGAAACTCACGTGGGGCAGTTGGACTTCACGATGCATTCTCTCGATGTTTAAATTAATGGGACTCGAAATGCAATATACGTACACTAAGAGAAAAAAATATCTAAAATGATAGTTTCAGATATTTTATATTAATATAAAAAAATATCTATAATTAAAATATCTATAATCAAAAAATAATATTTATCCCTTTATTTAAATAATTCACACAAATTATATCTCTTTGCCTAAAAAGATAATTGTATCCAGAAGACAGTTCGGATATTTATTCGGTGAATGTCAATAACATGTTTATAAACCTAAATTCTTCCATTTAAACAATTGTTTTCGTGAAAAGCTAAGATTTTCTTTAAGACATTTTGTGTAAAAGTGTATATTTTCTTATTTAAAAAATGTTTTATATATTAGTGGAAGTAAATGTGTGTTATCAATATTCATCGGATAAATATTCACACACTATTTCTTACGTATTTTTTCTCTCTCGGTATATATGCTCTCTCTATATTTCTCTGGGGAGAATTTTATTGTGAAATTTATTATAGAATATTTTGTACCTCGTTTCAATGGCTCTGTGCACTTTTTAGGAGAGAATTTCGTGGTTATTATAAAATTTTATAATCAAGAAATAGATTCAACATTCTGAGATAATTAGCTATCTTGTTCCATTTTGCACATGCTATTTATATATTTTGAGAACTGAAATGTTTTATTAACAGACTTACTATTTCCCTTATCAAGTCTATTCCTGACAGTCTCACTGACAATCCATCTCTGCACTATTAGAAATAATGAAATTGAAAAGAATTTATACAAAAAATTATAATATTCTATGTATTGACCGTAAAAAAGAATTATAATATTCCATGTATTGACCGTAAAACCATTTTCTTTTTTTGGATTCGATTAATTGTATTCTACACTTAAGACACGATAGTATCATAGTGTCAACCACTGGTGACCAACGTGGAAGACACCTCAAACATCCTAGAAAACCGTGGTTTTCCTTACTTTAGGCCCCAAATAAACAAAATAATTCTTTTGTAGTAAAAACGCAATTTTTACAATTCTGACTGTTACAAGAATTCAAAAAAATAAACTATATTTTTCTTTCTCCAAAAATATAAATAACAATTCCATTTTATATAAAGAACTTTATATAATTCCCCTTTATATACTCTTTATTTATGTCTGATTTATTCTATTCGAAAATTTAAGACACCTGAGTTTAATTCCCGAGTTACCCCACGTACAGTTCTTTAACTAAATGGGGAAGAATTTTCAATCGACAAAAGTAACAATGATTGTTTCAGAGTTAAGAGTAGTTGGAAATGACGACATCGAAGACAGTTAAGGAAACTCCTGTTATTAGTTCATGGGATTTATTCCGATTTGCACTGTTCGGCTACCGAGGGAAGAAGGTGCAGAGCGTCTAATTTGACGAGGACGTTTTTACACTATCAATTTACGGACGCGCGCCGGTCGAGATCGCGCTCTCCCGCGAGAAAGTTGCCGAGGTTAAACGATCTAATCGACACCGGCTTAACGACCGGCGATCTCGGGCGGCTTGTAATTGATGGCGATCGATAATGCCGAGCGCTATACGGCGCCTCCGCTCTTCCTCGGTATCACCCACGAAACGGTGAGAATCCGGCTTAACGAGCCCGTGGAAAAAGTTAATGGCTCGACTTCGACAACGACTACCACGGCGGAGAGGGAAGACATGTGCGCGTCCGTTCTCTTATTTTACGACGATAGTTTCAGCGCGACAACGCGGTGCGAAACGGACGAAGCGCGTGATGTACGGTGTCGTCAGTTATGGTACATCATAATTTTCGCGGATGCCCCGGCAGCACAATGTTACGCGGCTTTGCGAGCTGGGCGTGGATTCGACGAGATTCTTGTCTCATGACACGCACACAAACACACATACACACACACACACACACATACCGGCCACATGTAGTCTCGAGTTTCGAATGTTCGCAGAAACGATCCCCGAGATAGCGATCCTAGAGAGTCTCTAGGTAACTTGCTTACGCTCTTTTTTACATGGTAGAATCGTTCTGTAAGACATCCTCAAGAAATATGTCGTTTTATAATATTGTCATACGGAGAAAAGTTATCGAAAAGATTACAGTTTCTTTTTTTATATAAATTCTTCTCAATTTTACGATGTTTCTAATGGTGCAAACAGAAAAAAGATTCGATTAGGTTAAACAAATTTCTGGAAACACAGCAAGTGTTTTAATAGCATACTTTAGTTCCTAAAATATAATTAGCACATGTGAAATGAAGGGATAGTAAATTACTGTAGAAAGTATCAATCTATTCAGTATCAGTTACAAAACTCTATAGTAATTTTTACTGTAAAATTCTCTCCGTGTATATCTACACTAACAGAATTTTGTAGTGAAAATTACTAGAAAATTGTACACATTGAGTAGAAATATGTCAACATTATGCAGTGACTACTCTTTCATTTCATACGCTTACATTTTCGGAATTGAAATTACATTAAGAGAAAAAATATCTAAAAAATAAAAAATATTTAATCAAGTGAGAAAAGAGAGATAGCAAGAGATATTTATTCGGTGCTAATAACATATTTAGTTAAATCTAAATTCTTTTGTGTTTAAATAAAATAAACGATTGCTTTTATGAAAAGCTAAAGTTTTAACAAAATATATATTATTTTCTTTTGAAGAATATTAATAGTTTTAGTAATAATTAAAATATTTTATAAATATGCTATTATTATTTATCAAAGAAATATTTTCTATTTCTTAGATATTTTTTTCTCAGTATATTAAAAGTGTAGACTTTACTGTGACAGTCTATTTTCCTGCACTAGAAATATAGTAAAATTAAGAAAAAATATATATGAAAAGAAACAATAATATTCTCTGTTCATGTAAATTACTGAAATATAAAATATTCTTTCCAAAGTCTTTCTTATCTCTCATATATCCTATATCTTCTTTAATTCTTTCTCTTGTATTATCCCGAGTGAGGAGTTAGCATTTAAATCGCACACATAGCGCTAAACGCAGCAGCGCGATTCTTGGTTCATGATAACATTGAACGTGATCTTCATAAAACTCAAGAATCGCAACGCCTACGTTTAGCGCTAAACGCGAGATGCGTGAGTACGAAGCGCAATAATATCTCAGCGATCAAAAATAGAGCAATACATCATAATCTTGTAAAGTTTCAGGATACCGCGGCTGCGTCATCCATTATGCCACTGTTAAATAATTATGCCGTTGGCATCCCACATGAACTTTCATAAAACTACGACTCGCCTCGATCTAACGAACTCGGTAATAGAAATCACGTCGTGAAGTCAACAATTTACGACGTAGTCCAGAGTCAATTAACATTGTACGATAACGGAACACGGATCTTGTTAATTAGCGCCCGCTAATTAACACAGCACAAAGCTATCAAATTCCTATGAAAGCACGTGCGAAAAAAAATCTGAAAAATTCATTTATCTTAAGTCACGTGTTAAATATGAGTAAGTTAAGATTCTCTTAAACTTTTTTTTATGCGACCAATTTCAATTTATCACACTTCTTTCATTTTCTCATTACTCGAAAAATAAACAGAATAAATATTTAATAATGAACATTAAATCATATTTATTTCCTCGTAAAAGATTTATAAATTATAATTATATAAGATTATAAAAATTGATGTTATATTAAATTCAAAATTATGACTAGATTTTATTCAAAATATGATTATACTGCATTGAGAGAAAAAATATCAGGAAAATAAAAAAATATTTATTCCATGTGCAGAAGGAACCGGGATTAGTTAGTTATCAAGGTAAGTTGGCAAAATCGATTATTTGTTCTGTTTTTTAACAGATTTTAGAATCAAACAGACAGGAATTTCGAAATTATCTTTGACATATATAAAAATCTTGCTCGCTTAATTCTGTAACTCTGTTAGAAGATAGCAGAAATAATCGATTTTGCCAACTTATCCCGGTAGCCAAATAGTCCCAGTCTCTCTTACTAAAATAATATATTTATTTAAATCTAATTTTTTTTTTAAATGGGACAAACAATTGCTTTTATGAAAAGCAACGGTTTTAGAAAGATATATATTTTCTCATTTGAAAGAAATTTGTTCTCAATGTGAAGACATGTATATTAGTACAAGCAAATGTCATCAGCATCTATCTTTATGTCTCAGTGTGTTCAAGACCGTAATACATTACCGGGATTATAATTATCAAGATTACAATTATTCAACGTTTCGTCACAATACGCGTAAAAAGGGTCAAGCCTGTCGGGTCCAGAGCACGAAGGATTAATGCCTGCGCATCCTGCGCAAGAGCGCGACATTAACCAGAAGACGTCGCGCGCAGAATTAGCGACATCGTCACCGAGGCTCGACTTATTAAGCGGCGGGAGAGTCGTGCGTTTTCAGCCGCGACGTATTGTCAGCGGATGAGGCGCATAATGCATTCCGTTGACGGTAATGAATGCGTCGCGGCGAGACTCGCGCTGACCAAACGAGATCCATCCGTCCGGCCGGCC